ATCGCCATGAGTTTTCAGAGATGATGGCCAGTGGCTCTGCAATCACATCAGTCAACTCCCTCAGCACTCTCAGGTGCATCCGCTCCAGCCCCATGGATTTGTACACATCCAGCTTTTCTAAACTGTCCGTAACCTGTTCTTTTGCCACAGTTGGCTGCTAACATCCTCCCCAAACTGTGTTGCCATGTGCAATAGTCTGGGAGTTGACCTCACCTGTGAAGACCGAGGTGAAAAAGGCATCGAGTACTTCAACCTTTTTTCTGCATCCTCAATCACTAGGTTGCCTTCCTCATCCAGTAAGGGACCCATACTATCCTTGATATGCCTCTCGTTACTGACTTGTTACTTGTTAGAAAGCAAGCAACATAAAGAAAGATTGATGGAATTTAGTTTGGAGAAAAGACGACTTGGGGGTGGGGGAAGGGGAGGACGACAAGACAATAGTTTTCAGCTATTTGAAAGACTGCCATAAAGGTATTGCAAAATATTATGTTCTCCTTCACCACAAAAACAGGACACAAGGCAATAAGTTTAAACTGCAGCAAAGCATATTTTAATTAAAATCTCAGGATTAATGATTGTTATAACCATAGGACAACAGAACAAGTTGCCTAGAGAACTTGCAGAACCTCTTTCTCTGGAGTTTTTCCAAGAAGAAGCTAGACAGACATCTATTGGAAATGGTTCAGAAATAGGGTAGCCTGCATCTGTGCAGAGGGTTGGATAATGACACATTAAGTTCCTGCCAACGCTGTAATTCTCCATCAGTATCAGTTTAGAAATTTTAGAGAAAAATAAATTAGAAAACCTAAGAATATTAAACATGTTGTCATGAATTCTGAAGTAGATGATTACATCCAGTTTGTTTCAGAATTCTCCTCATAGGTGCAATAGAAGAAAAATAATGTTCTTCCCAACATTTATTTTTCACTAGTCCTGATGCAAAGGATTGTGTTGGGCTCAGACCCTCAGCTCACTTTCAGTGGTAGGTGAAGCTCCCACATCCACAAAGCCCATATGGGTTGAAATTCTGAAGAATAAATGGAATACACATATAAAGTATGTGCATGTAGAGAAAAACATATAAACACTGTCTAGATATCAACATTCCTTAGGATGCATCAGTTCAAACTAAAAAATAAGAATATATTCTAGCTACTTTTTAAAGCAAAGCTCAAAAATCACCTCTAAAGTACAAAGCTTCAATTGAAGGCAGCATGGAGTACAACAACAACAACAACAACAACAACAAAAATCAAATTATAAGACTGTTTGTTCTTTTCTATCTATAGCATAAAAAGGCCAAAGCAACTCTTCTTAAAATTGTTTTCAAGCTAAGACCTCATAATGCCAACTTTCAGCCAGGAACAATTTTTTAATTATGTGTAATAAACAAACATGAACTGGAATAATAAATACAACTTTAAAACAATACTATGAGGCACTACTTGGGGTAACAACCATGTGGAGTAAGAGAATTATTTCATTTATCACAAAAAACTAAGCAAATGCAACATTAAGCCTGAGGATTAGGTTTATGGGTATAATGGGAATACCTACAAATTCCCAAGTTTCAAAATCATTTAAAGCTAAACAGAAAAGGCTCCAACTTCTTACCTTAACTAATGTGTGGGTTATACCCGCTGCGAAACCTACAAACAAGGTAACAGACACTGCTAAAAATGAAACAAAACACTATGGGCACCTACTGAAACACAAAAGGATTTTTTTTTGTTTCCTCCTTAAAGAAAAGATGTTATATATTACAGAACCCCAAAATTCAAAAATTAAAATACTGCCTTGAAACACAAGTCCAAGCTCGCAAACCCTTACTTAAACATATACTTTCACTGATTTCAGTGGGACAGTTAGCACCAATAAGGGTTTGAAAATCAAACAGGTTCTCCTGGATGCATCTAACATCTCATATTACATAGCTCTTAACAACCTTTAGCCTTACATACATAGATACAAGAGCTACCCAAAAATACTTTTGAATTTCTTTAATACACAAAACAGAAAGACTAGTCTCTATTTACATTTAGCCACCTGATTATCTACATTTGTGATAAATCCATTTCTACAGGAAGCTGTGTCATACAATTTTTGGGATTCAAAATTTCAAGTCTTTATGTACAGGCCCTAATCTGCAACAGGCAGTACACAGACCAATCCCCTGTGGTCAAAGTCCCACTGAATTTAATGTTCCTGTGCATGAATACCCATGCACTATACACTGCAGGATCAACACTATGAGGAACCAAATGGGGAATCTACGTTAGACAATAATAAACTGGTATCTCTCTCATGAATAATGCACATGTCCCACTGAGTCCATTTAGCTCTGTAGTTCTTCCATCAAAAAAAGACCAGACCTACAACAACCTGAACTGAAAGCTAAGTATTACCAGTTGCATTCAAACTAGAACAGCCAACCTTATACAAGCATCTGGCTACTGGCTATTTTTTTTTGTAATGAAACATGGGAAGTAGTATTTATTACATTACCCTTCCAGTTCTTAGTTTTTTTAAGAGGCCAAATTGTATGTTAAAAAAATGTCCTTTCCCCACCCCAAACCTTAACAACTTTATTTCAAGTGTAATTATTTTCCAGTTTTAACCAAGTAAGCATTCCCCATTCAACTGAACACAAATTTTGAAGTTTTAGAACAAAGTTATCCAAGTCACTTGAACACAAAAATATTCAGAATATTTGACTGCATAATATGAATTCTTCATCACCATAACAGACCACAAACTGCTTCAATTTCAAAGAAGTGTCTTGAGGGAATCCCCATTCATGCTCCTTACGCTGAAGTAAAGATTTAAACATTTGTATGTTACTTACAGCAAGCTCTACATCTCCACATGTACAACATCCATAGTCCAGTGGGATCTCAACCCCAAGTTCCAATACCAATATTTTAGATGGAAAAAACTTTATTTCTGAATTTCTTTTAGTGACTGAAGTTATGATTACCCTAAAATTAAGGTTTAATCTCTCTCTCCTCGTCCCTTCCCCAGTTCTCTCTTCAAATATTTGGGTCCTCACACTATCTTTGTACTGATTACATTCATCTTCCCCCAAATCCTGCCTTATGCTATTGAACAAGAATTAAAAATGATTTAATAGTGAAAATTGATAATATAGTTAGCTTCACTTCTACTTCAACTCCTACTACAGCAAGTGTTTCTGTAAGATGAAATGTGCTTGCTTCCAAAGACGCTTAGCAAAGAAACTCACAAGAGAAGCATTTGGGCTGTTGAAGTTCTATCCTGCAACTTTCCATACCAGCATCTTTAAAATTAGGGGGGAAACAGTATATTTGCAATCCCATGCCTAGTTTCAACACCTATGCTGGAAAGCTGACAATGACCTATGTGCACTCAGAAATGCTTAGTCCACTGGTTCTCAAACTTTTCAGATTTGAGTACCCCAAGGAAAATGCCTGCTTTCAGCTTTTAATAACACTAGAGCATTTCATCTATCACAATGAACTCAGAAAATCCGCAACATATCAGAATGTTTTTGACATTACAGACTGCTACTCGAAATCTCTGGGTTTGTGTGTAGGCATTTGCACACCTAACAGTGCAGGACCCACAGCACCATTAAAAGGATCTCACAGCACCCCAATGTGCCACAACACCTTGGCTGAGATTCACTGGCCCAAACTATGTATTTTTACCACTTCTACCTTCTTCCTTCCCTATTTGTTTCTTACATGAATTACTGAGTTTGGGTTTATGTCAGATGTAAATGGAGGTTCCACACAGGTGCTTGGGTCAATCCATCTGCATTGGATTGCAGGGTTCAGGCTTTAGATGGTAAAGACTTTGAGGAAGGGAATGTCTTTTACCATGGAGTTTGTACAGATGACAGAACAATAGGGCTCTACTCCACATCAGGCCTCTGCATTTGGCTACTGTCATAAAAATCTACAATCCGAATAGATTTTCCTCCCAAATTGCCCAATCTTTAGCTAGAACCAGGCTTGAGAAATTAGTCCAGAAAAGATCCACTTTGGAGAATTTAATGAATGAAGAAGTCTTCAGAATACATAATAAAATGATGGCCTACTGGTAATGGCTTACTCCCGAAGTATAACTAATATATACTTCCATAACAGCCTTTTGCCGTAAGAAAAGCATCATACACAGAGGGAAATCAACTGTCAACATAGAATGACAGAAAATTAGGGTTGGAAGGGACCTGAGGAGGTCATCTAGTCCAACCCCCTGCTCAAAGCAGGACCAGCCCCAAGCAGATCATCCCACCCAAGACTCTGTCTAGCCGGGTCTTCAAAACCTCCAAGGATGGAGACTCCACCACCTCTCTGGGTAACCCATTCCAATGCTTTACTCCCCTCCTAGTGAGAAAGTTATTCCTAATATCCAGCCTAAACTTCCCTTGCTACAACTTGAGACTGTTGCTCCTTGTTCTATCATCTGCCACCATTGAGAACAACTCTAGTCTCTTTCAAACCCCCCTTCAGGTAGCTGAAGGCTACTATTAAATCCCGCTTTAGTCTCCTCTTCTCTACACTAAATAAGCCCGGTTCCCTCAGCCTTTCCTCATACATTATGTACCCCAGCCCCCAAACCATTTTCGCTGCCCTCCACTGGACTCTCTCCATATCATTCCTCATTTCAGTGACAGAGACTTGATCAGTCAATTACCAGTCTTTGACATACCTATATAAAAACTGGACCTTTGAAAGTTGTAACAGGGGGTCTAGTATTTCAGGGACAGTCTTTTATTTTTCCCCCAGCAGTTCTATTCCCCCCCCCCGCTCCCACCAGGATTACTAATTTGCCAATCAGATGATGACAGGGCTGCAGGTGACCCTGTCCCAGCCCGGTTCATCACCCCAGTGGCAAGCAGAGGGGGCAGCCTGCAGCCGGGCCGACCCCACTGGGCTGGAGGGAGAGAAAGCAACAAAAAAAGGGAAGCGAGAGCTGGGCTGGGTGGAGGAGGAGGAGACAAGGGAGGCATTTACCTGAGGCATCGCCCACTTTAAAGTCACTGTCATCTGAGCTATCATAATCTAAAGCTTCCAGCAGCGAAGCTGCCAAGGGCTTCACTTGCCGCCTCTTCGAGCTGCGGTCCACTGTGGGGAAAAAAACACGGCGCGCTCGTTAGCCCGGGTCAGGCAGCTCCCACCACCGCCGGCACGTGGGAGGGGAGGGGGGAGCATGCGGGGACCCCCCGGGGCTGGCAGGGACCGGAGCCACAAGCCCGGCGGGGAGGCGTGCCCGAGCTGCGGCCGGGGACAGGAGCCACTTACTGGAGCCGGCGGCGGCCCGGGCGGCGGGGGCACAGTCCAGGCCCCAGCAGCGGCAACTACACCGCAGGCCCCGCCGGCGCCGGGCCTGGGAACCCAGACAATGGGCAGCGCCGTGCCCCGGATGCAGATCCCGGCCCGCGAGCTGGGGCCGGCGGAGCTGCTGCGCCTGCGCGAGTGCCCCCCCCCCAGTCGGCGCGAGTCTCAGGCCTGCGCAGTAGGAGAGTGAAGCTGCCGCGGTGCCGCTGCCCTTTCTTACCCGGGGTCGGGTCTGGGCGGGTCGCTGCTGCCCGCGCGGCGGGGGGGCTTCGCTGCGCCCAAGCTGCTGCTTTAGGTAAGATGCGTGCGCCACCCGGGGCTACCGCCGGCCCGCAGCCGGGGCCCGTGACTCCAGGAGCTGGAATTTAAAGAAAGCGCGTGTTGAGAGAGAGACGTGTGATATAGCTGGCAACACGGGTCAGTCCCCAGCTCTGGGACTGGCTTGTCTCCTTGTCTGTCAGGCACCGGCACAACCTTGCTGAGGCAACATGGGCAGCCCCACGCCTTCGGCCTCCCGTGCACATGGGGTGGTCCTCCGGTCCCACGCCCAGAAATAAAATGCCAACCCTTGCATAAGTGGCATTTGGGGACTTAGGGCCCCTCTACACATTAACCAGTTACTTGTGCAATGCCTGTAATCACACAATCACCTTAAGACCAGCTACAAATGCAAAGTAGCCATCAGGCCATAAAAAGGTCCAACCAGCTATACAGTTAGACCTTGGAAATGTGTGCTAACTTTATAGCTGGTTGTTATCTAGTTTTAATTTGCATGTGTAGCAGGGGCTCTCAGGAGTGCACCATGCCCGGAGTGAAGCTGCTGAGCCCTGGGGAATCGAGGCAGCTGCAATCCCTCAGCCCCAGGGGTTTCACATACCCCTGAGCCCTAGGGATTGAGGCAACTACAATCCCCAGGGGTTTCATGCACAACACCCCTGTGCCTGGGAGCCCCTTGGTGGATAATAGTTGGCAGATGTGTAGCTGATGACAGAGCCAGTTGAGGGGCTTCCAGAGCTTCTTTTTACCTGTGCAGTTGGACATGGTGGGATTTAATATGTGATCCCACAGTCACCTCCTACTATGCATGTGTGGCACGGTAAGAGAGGCAATTGTGTGGATCACATTAGATCCCATCATACCTTTACCCGCCTGGGTAGAGGGGGCCTTAGATGATCAAATCTGGTCTTCTAGGCATCCAGAAAGAAAATGGAAACTGCCCTTGTGAGTTAATTTCCTCTTGGTGGCTGAAAACATGTTTTTACAGGTCATTTAAGTAGTTGTCATGCAGACTTGCATTAGGACACTGGTAGTTTAGTAGCTCTCTAAGGCAGTGGTCCCCAGGGATGATCCACTGGGGTGCGGGAAGAAAATATTAGAACTTCTATTTATATAAATATACATATATTGGGGGGTGTGCTCAAAAATGTTTTACTGATGCGGTGCACGATCAAAAGTTTGGAGACCACTGCTCCAAGGGATAGCTTCATTAGCCACATTTGACAATGAGAGACATGAGAGGGCTTGCAAGGTCAACTTGAGAGCCCAATCGCTCAACCAGGAACAGAAGCCCCTATTTGTAAGTCCCTCTCTGAATTATCTCCACTAGGTTAACCACACTCCTTTTCCTTCCTATGCACTAGAATAAGGACTTGGGTGGTTGTGCTTTGGAGTGTCTGGCATGTATAGCTGATGACAGAGCCAGTGAGAAATCACAAACATAGGTTATGTCACAAAGGTTTTAAGTTTCATTGCATGGTGGTCTCAGAACCTTTACAGACATGAGAAAAAAAAAGAAGTACTCTCATTCTCCATTTCCAGTAGCAGGTAGCCTGGCTCTCTGTCTGTATTTCCAGCTTATTATTTACCACCTAATTTAGACACTAATGAACAAAAATATTCCTTGGTGTGCAATATTACTGCAGACACATCACACAGGCTTTGGCTTACTGGAGGGCTGCACATCTGGCTTACAAAGGTCCTGTAACTCTCTGCTGTTGAATTTCCTGTTCCTGTTTTGGCCAGGCATTTTCAGCTGTGCCCCAGGCTCAGCCATTCTCCTTCTCCACTCTGGCCTACCACACAGGAAGCTGTGGAGTACCCATACGTACCTTAATTTCTTGGTTTTAGAAGTTGAATTTTTCATGACCTTCAGGACTTATCTAACTAACACCAAGTCAGAGAGAGAGAGAGAGAGAGAGAGAGGGGGGCTTCAGTCTCTTCAGGGGTACAAAGCCCACTACATTTTTGCTCACCTATGAAGCAGGGAGAGGGTTACAAACCTTCTTCCAATACTCCCCAGTGCCAGCACAGAGTGCAGTCCCTCAGAAACTATGGTATTTACCTGAATCCAAGACAGCTGCAAATTTCAGCTGACCTAATAATTATATTTGATACATGGGACTGCAGCCAAGGACTGGCCAGGAGGCAGGGTTGGGGCATAGTCACCATGTGCTCTGTACCCCTGGCCTGGAGCAGGGCCACATCTGCAACTAAGGGTAAGTGGCGACAGCAGGAAGAAGGGGAGACAAGGGGCGGGGGAGCAGGTGGGGGCTGAGCCTGTGGGGAAAAGCAGCTGATTCTGACCCTGATTCCAGGTCAGGGC